CATGCAGGTACCATCACGTTTTGCACATCCAGGCTCTGAGCACAAGCTCCCAGCGCCTGCCTCCCTCCCATCACCAATGTCCCCAAGGTTATCCCCAGGGTATCAGTGACCTAAATACACTGTTTTGAACTTGAAAATTGCTTTTGTTTTTAATGTTGCTGAGTCTCTAAACCCAGCACACATAACAAACTGACTGATTCCAAGCAGCTGTTGTGTAACTTTGCCCCCCACCCCCAGAGATGTTGCCTGCCATTCATTTAATGGGCTTGGTTTCACTGGGAAGTGCCTGGAGGAACCTCTTCACTCCCTAATTAGCAACAGAAGGGGCTTGCTGGGGGTAGCAGTGAAATGTTTGTGAGGTCCCCTGAGAATAAGGGAGGCAGAGAAAGGGCCATTTCCAGCTGGAAAACACTAACTTTCATTCAATGTACAGTGCAGAGCTGAGGACTAAAGAGAAGGTTTTGGGGGGGAAGGTACTTGCAGAAATTATTTCTAGGTAAGAAAGAAGCACTTTTGAAGGGAAAGAAGGGGATGGGAGAGATTGTTCCTGGCCCTCCCAGGTTGTTCATCGCTCCTGCAATCTGAGTTTTACGTAAGATACCGTGGAGCTGCACAGAGGCATCATGGGCTGTCTGCTGGCAGAGGCAGGAGCAAGGTGTTGCTGCGATCTGCTCTCAGATGCTTGAGCTGGCTCTTGTTAATAAGATTCAGGAATTAACAGCTCGGAAGTGCTTAGGAGATCAGTGTTTCCTCCAGGGACATGATCGGAGAGGCTGAGCACAGAATCTGCTATTCAGGGCTGGAGCAGACTTTGGTGCAAAACAAAACTCCCGCCAACCAGCTGAATGTCCTGAGACCTCCCTGGGAAGGTGAAAACTTTGCTTGTCCATCACAGGTAGAGTGATGTGTTTGGGGCTATTCCTTAATTTAATAATATTTCCCATGCAATCTCATTTCTGGGCAGGGCTTTTTTCATACAATACCAATTAAGCATGGACAGTCCCAGCTTGGACCTGTTGAACTGTGGGGACCATTCCCCTTCAGAAGTCATGCAGAGAAATACAGTACTCAGTATCTTTGACTTGTGGGAGCAAAGGTCCAGTGAAGCAAAGGAAAGCCTTGTTAGCTGTAAGGACCTTCCTTAAAAGCAAAGGAAGAAGGTGAAGTTCAAAGAAGAGTGATACTATGGGACAAGCAGGGTTGTAGGAGCCTGAAGGAGCATAGGGGAGATCTGAAGCTTCCAGATACTGCCCTGCCCTGCAATATCACGGGCCAGCACCTCACTGGTAGTGGCCACTGACCAGATTAAAAGGAGTCCCTGGTATAAGTCAGGAGACCATATTCACAAAGATCCCTTGTTACTGAGCATTATTTGCTCTCTAGTAATATTCTTAAGACAGTGAACCTGATTTTGTGCTTGCAAAAGGAAAATTATGCAGCAAAGCCTTCACACTTGTGAGATGAAGGGCAGCACATTACAGCCAGGGCCATAAATCCCAGTGAGGGCCTTGTGAAGGCTCTAAAGGTCAGAATAATAATTTCCAAGTTGCCACAGCATCTCAAACTATAAAAGAGCTGTGTTCAGAGCTTCTGTGCTCCACTCTTACCTTTGTCCACTAGCTCATTTCATAACCAAAGGTCACCAGCTTTCTCCCCTATGTCTCAGGTTTCGGTGTTAATGAGGTTATGAGGCTTGGATTACGGTTTCATGCAACGGGCAATGACAAAAAAATTCCCCAAAAGTCAAAAATAGGAAAAAAAGCCCAAATAGAAAAAAAAAAGGAAGTGGTATTACGTGTACTGCAACCTCCTCTTTGCCACTAGAGGGCACCCAGTATTTGCAGAACTGCTGCTTGGCCTGTGGGTGCTTTCTCCAGCCGCAGGTTACACTACACCCGTGTTAGTGAATGCGTCTGGGAGAACTGGCAGGTTATGTTGTGTTCGGCTCCTCCTGCCTGTATCCAGCTGCTAAACCAGCTGAAAAAATACATTATGGTAACATTTCCATGTGCATGGTTTCTATCATTGCTGCAGGGGTGATTCTGCAGAGCAGTGACGAGAGCAAGAGAAAAACATAGGAAACAAGCTCTCTGTTTATATGTGATTTGTGCAACAGAAACATACGAAATCCATTCATAAAATGATGCCTGTTGTAAAGGGACTGCAGGATGGCGGCAATTGGAAGTTTAGACAGAGGTGCAATTGCGATATAGAGTATATCAAATGTTATTCTCTCTCACCTTTTTTTCCCTCAGTGCCAGAATAGCAGCTGAACCAGCAAAATCACAGCATTAGGACAGAGGCAGAAAACTCCAAGGAGTCTTTTCAAAAACAGGTTTGCTAAGACATATGTCATTCATTCAGGATAAGGGATTCTGCCCCAGTGCAGGAAGATGCTCTGAGACACTTTTGCAGGTCCTTTCCTGTGGGATTCTCCTTTCCATTTACGGGATATGCATGAAAAATCTTGTGGGAGTCAGCCTTGTCTCCAGCAAGCAGTTTCTGTCTGTATTTGTGCCACTAGAGGTTGTGAGAGAGAGGGGGAAACCCTGGTTTTCCACAGACAGGCTGCTACAGCACCCGAGGGCAGGATTTCCTCTGGGACCCTTTGATCTCTGCCCACCATCAGTCAGACAAAACTCCTGCACATACTCTGCATGTCAGCAGATGGGATCCTGGCATCTCAGCTCTTTCAGATTTATCAGTGGGGTTTCCTTACCTTTTAGACTCAGGGTCTTAATGCCCTTGGTGTGTCCAATTAAATCTTAAGCAAAAGCTGTTCTGATTCTTTAGACAGAGAGCAGCAACTTGTATCAAAAAAAAGCATGACCAAGGGAGGTGGTTTTCCCCCTCTACTCCACTTTTATGAGACCTCACTTGGAGTACTGCATCCAGCTCTGGGACCTCCAACATAAGAAGGACATCGAGCTGTTGAAGCAAGTTCAGAGCAGGGCCATGAAGATGATCAGGAGACTGAGTTGGGGCTGTTCAGCCTGAAGAAAAGGCGGCTTTGGGGAGACCTTATAGCAGCCTTCCGGTACCAGAAGAGGGCCTACAGGAAAGCTAGAGAGGTACTTTTTACAAGGGCATGTAGTGATCAGACAAGGGATAATGGTTTCATACTGAAAGAGGGTGGATTTAGATAAGATATTAGGAATAAATTATTTTCTGTGAGGGTGCTGAGGCACTGGCACAGGTTGCCCAGGGAAGTTGTGGATACCCCCTCCCTGGAAGTGTTCAAGGCCAGGTTGGACAGGACTTTGAGCAGCCTGGTCTGGTGGGAGATGTCCCTGCCCATGGCAGGGTCATTGGACTGGATGATCTTTAAGGTCCCTTCCAGCCTAAACCATTCTAGGATTTTATGATTCTGCGATCTTTTCTCTGAAGCTTTTACAAGCTCTTCTGGCTCTTTTTCCACATTCCTGATATAATTTCACTCTCAGATGTTTAAGCCAGACCTTCCTCTGCCAGTCTTTATGCTTTTCCCAGTGCTAGGTAAGAAATAGAATATTCCCAAGGTCTCTTTTGTCTCCTGGAGACATCACAGCCTGGCACCTCACAGGGGTCCTCAGCTACCTTCCACATCGGTTGCAATTCTTTCCTCTCGTTGCTAATAATTCTTCAGTCTTCTGACTGTAGTCCTTCTGCAATCAGGGATTCCATCTTCCAAAAGGCCTCAAGAGAGCTGGTTTTGTTAGAGAAACAGGACCTTAAAGCTAAGTAATCCCAGATGGACATAACCAGAAATAACTGTGGTGGAGCAATACATTGAACTTCAACCATATGAAGGATTTACAAGCTTTTCTACCTGATGGCTGTTTTTGAGGGCACAGTGGCTGCATATGAATTCACAGCAGTATAAGACCTAATCCCCACAACTCCCACTGATGATGGCACTTCTCTTTGAGCATTGCATGGAGATAGGAATCATTTCCTCCTAACAGTAAAATGTGGCTATTCCTGGAGTTAAGCACAGCAAGGACACTGTGCATCAAGTTAGGAAGGAGAAGCCTTTACCCAGTGAGATTTACTGACCATGAGGGAAATAAAATCTAGTTCCCTGAGCTAAAACAAAGCATTGATTTCTGTGGAAAATTAAAAACCTAACTCACCTTTTTTGTTTTGTTTTGTTTTGGTTGCTGCCAATCACAGGTGCTCATGGAATAAGAGCCACCTCATGAAGTGGTTGAAGAGGACACTTGGAGGTCAGCTTGTCTCACCTCCTGCTCAGAGCAGGTCAGGTTGCTCAGTGCCTTGTTCCTGTCAAATTTTGAATGCTTCTGAGGACGGAGATCCCAAATCTTCCCTAGGCCCCTGTCCCAATGTCTGAATTCCTCCATGGTGAACTAATTTCTCCTCATACCTAACTAGAATTTACCTTTTTTGCAATTTGCATACATTGCCTTTTTTCCTTCAACTGTTGCTCCTCCAAGATGAGTCTGGGTCCATTTTTCCTACGCTCTCCACTGGGTAGCTGTAGACAGCAGTAAGACCCAATCCTTTGCCTGCTCTTCTCCAGGCTTAACAAACCCAGGTCTCTCTCTCTTGCCACATGCTCTATTCCCCTGCCGCTTGGTGGCCCTACACCACCAAAGGTGGGCTCACTCCAGTCTTTCCTCCACCAGCAAAGCCAGAAGTGGCCATGGCAGCCCAGCTGTGGCTCACAGGTGCTATAGAGAGATCACTCCACTCAGCCTGCTGGCAAACATGTTTGCAATATAGCCCTGTAGGCAGCTAGCCTTTGCTTGCAAGGACACCTTGTTGGCTCAGACTCAACTGAGGGCCTCAGGCCAGCCTCTGCAATGCTTTTTATGCATTTGGCATCCAGCCTGTGCTGGTGTACAGGGGTTTTCCCTCCCCACGCAGGACTTTGGCTCTGCTGAACTTAATTTGCAACTGCAAACTTACGCAATAGGTGGCACTACGATGTAGTTCGCACTGTCCCCACCAGAGCGTCATTGCTGGAGAGAAAGCCCGCAGAGACGACGTTGCTGCTTCTTCCGGAGCAGCACCAGGCAAGGAGGAGCAGATATGTGGCAGGACTTCCTTCCAAGCGCCTGGTGAGACACCCTTGGTGCGGGGAGGAGGGACCGCAAAAGGGGCTCCCCACGATTGGGGTGGGAGAAAGCCCCTGCAGGGGTCACCAGGTCATCGGAGGGTGGGAGCATGTGGCTGAGTTATCCTGAGCACAAGCAGAGAGGAGGTCTGATTAGACTGAGCCTTGTTTTGTGTCGCTCAGAGAGCTGCTTCTGGGACACACTTGTTTTGTTAGCAGTGCCAAGTTTGTGCTATTACCATGATAACTGCTCTCAGGCCTCCGACTCACTAAACTCCAGGATGTAAGTGCAGGGGGCTATTGTTGCCTGTTGCACAAGCAAACCACTGTTTCCTCTTAGGAGCCTTGTTCTTCCTTGTCTGGGAGCGGTTTAAGGAGATACCTCCTTAAAAATCACAACACAGGCTGTCTCAGAGATCGTTACCAAATTGTTTTGGCAACTGCTGGGGTTTCTAGTAGAGGCAACAGGTTCTACATCAGGCAGAGTGGGAAATTATACTAGGTAAAAAGGAACTGTCAGCAGACTTGGTTTTTTATGGAGTTTCATGTCCTTTTTTGTTTTTGACTCAAGTTATAATTATGACACCAAACGGCTCCCTAATCTAGCTGCCTTCTGCAAGGCAGAGCAACAAGACTTTCACTTGTCACTTCTAATTTTGCTACATTATAGACTGTGCTTTTCTTGCAAGAGAACCGACCAGGCTGAAAGAGAACCGAGGAGGATGTTTTCTTTTTCTTGCAGGCAGATGAAAAAATGATGATAAAAGCTTGGTATCCACTCAGGAGTAATTAGAAGTAGCAAAGGATTAGCAGCTTTGAACAGGGCAACGTCCCACAAACCTTTCTTCCTGCCGGCACTGCAGCATAGGAGTACCACATGGTTTAAGCTTGGAAGTCCCCTGACAAGGCTGTGCACATATTGCTGCACAGCAGTCAAAATAAACTATTTTCTTGGCTGAAGTAACACAGCCACTCGTAGGATGAAACACCGCAAGGACACCTATCCAGTTGTTTAGCACCTTTTATCTAAATTGTGATGAAGGAGGGAATATTATGGCAACAAACTGTCTAGCTAAAATACAGCCCAGAAACACTGCCTCTTTGTGCAGAGGCAGTGCTTTTAGTCCCTGTCTTTCTGTCCCATCCAAAAAGGCAGGAAAAGTAATGGCTGTTGCTGGGCGGCTAAACAGCTTGTGATCCCATGGCTGGGCAGTAAATGCTGCTGGCAGGTGACATTCTTTGCCCCATCCTCAAGGGTTGATACCATTCAGACAACACTATGAGAACATAAGAATATTTTATTTCTTTTTTGTAGGGAGAGCATCCTGTGCTGGACCAGGTGAGTGAAATAGATGCTCTGTGCTGAGGCCTCCACTTTTTTATTAGCACCCTGGCTGGAGCACAGCATAGTCCCTTCCCTACCCTTCATTCACAGTCCCTTGCAGCTCCCTGCAGTAGCTCCAGACACCTCTACTAATTCCCAAGGGAAGCTTGAGGCATGGGTCAGAGTGACGGGAATCGTTTCCCTAAGCATTTGAAGGGTTTTGAAACATGCTGCATGTCTGTTAAAACCAGCTCTGGTGGCCTAGCTCCCACACCTCAAGAAAGCCTGAAACCTTGCTGTCTAGAACAGAAGCAGGGGCACCAGACACTAGCTGAGATGCTAACCCATGGAAAAGCTATGGTGGAGGGCCAGCGTTGCCCTAAAAGATTATTAGATCTGTAGGAGAGCTATGTATAAAGCACTGCCAAGAGGGGCACGTCTACCACATGCAGCTCTCTCCAGCAGCTGAAGACCCTTGTTAGTGCGCCTGGTCTTCAGCCCATTCTGTCTGTGCAGTTTTTATTCCTGGAGGAGTCCAGCTGCTACTATCCCATTCACTCCAGTACCTGCCTTAAAATAGACCGGTCCACATCCTATTGACCCTTGTCCCCCAGGGCACCCTGCTTCAAGGGATAAGGAAGCCTTGTGATCAGCAAGTCCTGATCAGCAAGGACTTCGGGTCACTAAGAAGCACTAGTAGATGTAACCCTGCTCCAAATCTTGCCTGTGATCTTATCTGATGGTAACAGAAACCCCCAGTCCTTGCTGACTCCATGGGATTTGTAGGCACTTGTTACAGCTTATGCCCAACTCATGTGCATACAGGCCTCAGCATAGTCCGCTTACCCTTGTCACTTGTTGAACACAATTTCATGCCTCCCCAGGTCTTTTGATTATTCTCAGAAGAATGCAGTCCTGGTCCCTGCGGTCGCTCTGGGGGTTGGAGGGATGCTGGTTTACTGGCTGAGGTCTAGACACAAGATCGAGACTCTTGAAATGGGTGATGGATGGTGGGGCTCAGGTGAAAGACCCCTAAAAGGGAAAGAAGATGAAAGTATCCGTCCCTTCAAGATTGAAACGTCTGACAAAGAAATTGAGGTACATCAAGGATGTAGGGAAGGGTGAAAAGCGATGAGGTGGAGCCAGTCCATCACCCACCTTACCGCTTCGAGGTGATGTCTTGGGTGTGGCAGCAGCCAGCTACCTAGCACTGTTAGATGATGTTCTGACTCACCGCCCTTTGTGAACGGGTTTTGAGCTCAGATTCATTGCAGTGGCCTGTAAAGACTTTCTGAGACCACAGATCCTCCATGCAACCCGGGACTGCTCCGGTGGAAAGGCCTCACTTTGAGCAGCAAACTTTGACAGTGGGTCTGCGGGTGGTGGAGCAGGGTGGGAGGGTGTTGGGGCAGCAGTGGCACCAGTGGGGCAGGACTGAGGGACTTCCACAGCGGGAAGGGCTGGAAGGGTGAAGAGGGGTCTTGACTGAGTCACAGCCCCTCTATCCCCACATGACAGTGTCTAATTATCTGGCCAATTAACTGTTGGCAGCTCAGGCTGAGCTTCTTATTCACCCAGCCAGCAGTACCAGTACTGGCAAGCTCCTAGTGCCAAAAACCCTGAAGCAAGTTAGCAGCAAGGCAAGAGTAGGACCTGGTACTTATGGGTGCCGTAGGGGAACTGTTAACCTGTAGAAAAATATATTCTCCATATAAATGATTCAAGGTCATGCAGAGTATGCCACCGCTTCAGAAGGGGTTGTGGTGTCCCCAGTAGTGACACAAGAGCTAGTGGAGCCAGTAGAGGCTGTCCATGCCTGTGCTGGTACAGGGCATGTGCGGGCAGCTGGACAGCCTTACAAGAAGGGCTCCCCTCTGCAGGACCTGCACCGCCGCCTGGAGCAGGCCCGCTACACACCCCCTCTGGAAGGGGCTGCCTTCCACTATGGCTTCAACTCCAACTACCTGCGGAAGGTGGTGGCCTACTGGAGGAACCAGTTCGACTGGCACAAGCAAGTGGAAGTCCTGAACAAATACCCCCATTTCCAAACCACCATTGAAGGTGAGGGAGTCTCTGCCGCTTGAGCAGGTCTCACTCTGAAATGCACAGGGAGAAGGGGGAGATTTAGGAGGTTACAATATTTAAGACAACAGTATGCATAACAGCTTAGTGATATGAGTGAAATATCACTAGTGGAGGCTATATTATTAATAGCCTTCTATAGATTAAGACCATTACACAGTGTCAATAAGATTAGGTCTAGTTCAAGATGGGCTTCATCTGGCTCTGAACCTGTGCTAACTAATTATGAGGTTTTCCTCTGCTATTGCCTTGAAGCCACCTTCTAAAATTGCAAAATTTACCCAGACTCTGAGGCAAAAATTTCCCCCACCACCACCCAGCTTAGCCAGGTGAGGTTAGCCAGGCTTTAGTTAAATGATCTGCAGGTTAAACTTCTATCTTGCATGCATTGTTTTATGTTTCTCTTTTTGTCACCCACATATTTTATAATTCTGTCATGGTTTTGCATGTGTCTTTCCTGCATTATGCTATTAATTTAAGTGCAGCTCTACTTATATACTGTGAGATCAGTTTCTCAGGAGATGGATGCTCAATTTCCTGGGACCCAAATATGTGGGGCTGGGATCAATACCTCTGTAAGTAAAAGATGAGAAATAGTTACAATGTTAGGCATTGCCTTTCAGCTAGGCATCTTCTAGCCATAGGTTAATTGTGTGACTTCTGCTACAAATACTAATTGCAGTTTTGTCACTCTCCTCCTTCAGAGTCCAGAGCAGAAACTTTGATGGAACCAGAACTTTAATTTCTCTCTCTTGAATGTGTGGCAGGGATCAATATCCATTTTATCCACGTGAAGCCCTCCTACGTCCCTCACGGTCGCGCTGTTCAACCTCTGCTGATGGTCCACGGCTGGCCTGGCTCCTTCTACGAGTTCTACAAGATCATTCCTCTGCTCACAGAACCAGCCAGGCATGGCCTGAACGAGAGTGACACAGTGTTTGAGGTCATCTGCCCATCCATCCCAGGCTATGGCTTCTCAGAGGCACCACACCAGCAAGGTAAGCAGTGAAAAAGCTCTGCTGGAATCACAAGGTTTTTGGAGTAGCACCTTCAGCCACCCTCAGGCCCCCTGGGCACTGCTGTTTGTGAATGCAGACGCTTGACTCTGCACTATCACCCATGTGGCTGAGTCTCTGGGGCTGGCTGTGGAGATCCGGAAGGCAATGGCAGCTGGAAGCCACATCTGCTTTCCACTTCCTCCACTTTCCACTGAATTTCTATCACATGCTGTTCACTTTATTGCCAAGGAGTGAGGCAGAGCAGCATAGCACACAGCAGCACAATTATATGCCTCTGTCGGGCCATGATCTTTGGCCAGGGGATGAACACAAGGACAGACAGGTCTCCTGTGTTTCTCTTTACCTACAGGATTTGACACCATAGCAACTGCTCGGATATTTCATAAGCTGATGAACAGATTGGGCTTCAAGGAATACTACCTACAGGGAGGAGACTGGGGATCTCGTGTTACCACAAACATGGCCCAGATGCTGCCACAGTGAGTAGCAAAGAGAATCAGTGCAGAAAAGCTGCCTCCAATTCTTACCCTACCTTCTGGCTCCTTGGTCCTGCTCCTTGCCTTCTGTTTGCCCTGCCTCTCATCTCCTCCTGCTTTGTTTCCTCCAGGGACATCCCCACCCCTGTGCATTCAGTTGTATTCATATGCTTTGCACTGATATTGGCTCAGTTTGCATACTTCCTAAATTTCAGTGCTGTTTGGCTTCTCTTTCACTAGCTGTGGCAGTAAATTCTGATGCATTTTGATTTGAGACAGATCATCATTCTAAATCAGGAAGGAGATAAATTTAAAATCAGCAGGGAGAAAAGGAAGGAAGGAGCTCAGCCTTTCAGCAGCTGAACAGTGCCATGAAGTATAGGATTTTCCTGTCTAAAATGCAGAGTTGAGACTGATTGGAAAAGAAACACAATACCTTCCTTAGAAGATGGCAGCACTGCTCATTGTTCAGCATTTAATGTCAAGTGGGCACCACAGCCACACTTAGGTCAGAGAACAGATAAAGGGGGAAAGCTCTTAAAGCAGTGAGACTGCAGGCTGAACAGCTCAGTCTTCCCCATTGCAGTTGTGCATCACAGCACCCAGAGCACTGTGGCCACATGTGATCTACTTGAGCTTTTTGGAAATACCCATCACAGGCTGTTCCCTACAGCACAGAACAGCACAAGGCCAACAGGCAGAGCTACCAGCATGGATATGCCACATCCAGAAATGGAGTGCCTAAAGCTAACATCATACCAGTGGCGCAGGTGGATGGAGGTGGCACCAACTGTACTATTTCTAACTCCCGTAATTTTCTTTTTTTAATAATGAACTTGAAGGGCTTTTTGTATTTGGCTCAGTGAAATGAGCTATTCTATCACCGCTTCCAGTCAGATGTATTATCCAGAAAATTTAGAGACAGAAAATTGCTTGATTTAACTTTTTATTCACTAACTTAATTTTAGATCTGTGAAAGGGCTTCATCTAAATCTTGTCTTCGTGAGCAAACAAGGTTTGGGAAGGATGATTTCTGTGATGCTTGGGGCTTATGTACCATGGCTCGTAGGCCTCACTAGGGAAGATGTTCAACGTACATATCCTTTCATTCAGAAGAATATACATGCAGTTCTGCGAGAGTCTGGATACTTACACATCCAAGCCACCAAACCAGACACTGCAGGTAATGAACCTTCTCTATATCACTATGAAGATCATATACGAACTGCTTATGGTATGTAAAAACTTAGAGTTGAACAAAGGCTGTGTTTGAGAAGCAGTGAGTTCTGGTGACTGAACACAAGACATAGGGACAAAAACTGTGTAAAAGGCAGTTAAAAGGAACAGCTTAAAAAAAGATGGAGACCACAAGTATCACTTTTCAAAGTCTCTTAAATAGCATGCCACTTCTCTTAGACCCTTTGCAAAAAGCCTCTTAAAGTAAAGCACAGGGTCCTGAAATTGAAGTTTCTGGAAGTAAATGTGGGTGAAAACAAGAAAAATTTCATTAGCAAGTGCAATGTGAAACTTGCAGGAAGGTAGACCCAGCCCTAACACCTGAAAAGGCAGAAGCATGGCATAGTGGGGCCAGTATATAAGGAGTCTGAAGAAAGATATGGCCATCTCAGAAAAGTGGAATGAATTATTTGCATCAGTCCCCACTAGTGAGGGTTTTGCGGTGTTCCTTTATTGAAATAATCCCTCATCAGGAAAGACAGCAGGGCTGTCTCAGACTGGTGCCAGGTGTGGAGACCATAGAATGAATAGCACCCCAATCTGGCAATTCACTGAAAAACAAACTCAAATGGAATCGTTAACTAATGCCCAATCTGCTGCTTGAACTGGTCACAATACCAAAGACATAAAAGAAGCCAAACAAGATAGCAGGTTGGAGGGTTTGGGGGATTTTTTTGAAGGGTGTTGGTTTTTTTTAAGAGCCAAACAGTGAAGGTAGCCCCAGACAAACAAAGGCCAGTATATCTAGTCTCTAATCAGAAAGCTAGCAGAACTGTTTTAAAGAGGAGAATTGATTTACAGGTGATAATATCACAGGGAAACCATGCTTCAAAAATCAGAGCTCTGGCAGAATCAGAGAGCTGTGGAGCCAGTACTGGAACATACTTCATTCCCAAAAAAGTTTTGCTGAAGTTCCTCCCCTTATGTTCTTAAAGGAATCAAACTGCCTTAAGAAAAGTTTGTGAATTAATAACTAGCTAACATGAGAATCCAAGCATAGGAATAAGTAAGAAAGTTCCAGAAGAGGGAGAGCATTGCAAAAGTCTGTGCTGACACCTACACAGCATGATCCTGATTTCTCTACAGATAAAAGTTAATGGTTAAGTGAAAATTTGACAGCTATCCAGGGTTTCATTTAATCTAAAGATAACTGCAGAGAGTTGCAAAAACATTTAAGTGACTGATTGATTAAACTGGCCAATAAAAACAGATGTCAACAAAGTCCAAAGCATTTAAGTAGAGAAAGAAAATAACAGCAGGCTCTAGTTTGGCTGCTGCCTTGTGAGAGAATCCACGAGTCATGGATAGTGCTTTGAAATGACAGCTGGCTCAGAGTTTAAGAGGATCTTAGGAAAAAGGCGAAAAGAGACTAGACAAAACACTAAATCCATGATATTCAGAATCTGTTGCACCCTTGTTCACACTGTTTCATAAATATATTTTAGAATCAGAAGAACATAGGAAGGGGAGAAAAGGAAGACTGAAGTGACCAAGCAGCACTGTACCTAGTTGAGGACGCTCAATCTGAAAAAAGAAGAGCAGGGATTTTGTAGCACACTAAAACTGTAACATGTAGAAAATGAGTAGGGGAAAAAAAAGTATTCTCTCCTCAGTCTCAAGAAATATCTACGTTATAACTTTAGTTCTCATTAGGCAGATTTAAAGCAAAACTAAAGTATTTTCACTCACCACAAGTTGTGGTACCTAAGATGTGGTACCTAAGATGTGGTACAGGTTGAATGACTAATAATCTGCAAACAAGACGACTATTTCTGAGCATCTAATTCATGGAAGTTGAATGCAGTGGTTCAGAGGCAGCTTTCAGCCCAGAAAATGCTCATCTCCAGACGGGTTATGTGCTAGCTGGCTAATTTTAGCCTGCCCTACCATTGCTGGTCAAAGCATTTACATGACTTGGATCTGTAGCAAATTGCTCTAGGTCTGCCAGTGTGGGGAAGCTCTTGTGCTAAGGCACAACCTCACTTTACATGAGCTATGTCCACTGTTAAACTGAGGCCGTGTTGTGCATCCTCTTCTACAAAGTCACACTAAACTACACTTGAGAGTAGGCAATACTGAGCATACTATAAAACTACAACCCGGGGTATGGTACAGGAATATTCCCAAGGCAAGCCTCTATCACCACTGCAGTAATCCCTATCTCTGTGTTACAGATAAGAACACAGATATAATATACAAAAGGCAGGAACAGATAACAGACACACAGCACTCCACTGTTTAAATTAGATAAAAAGTGATGAACAACACTTAGTGTCCTGGTTATCCATTTTAAGCAGGACAGTGCTCCCAAGTAGTTTATCACAAATTTCTGTGTAGAGTGTAATCCCTTTACATCTGAATTTGCTCCTTCTGCTAGAAGCCACCAGAACTTTCTTAGCTCCTAACTTCTTCTGTACAGGAATTATCAGGAGTTTGTAGTGCTGTCAGTTATGGCTGGAACTCCACTGGGGTAAATTTGTCAAGAGGACTACCAGAGAGAGTAGAATACAAACTCTACAGAATTCTCAGGAAATGCTGAAGAATTCATGAAAGTCCAGTTTAACTTCCACTGAAGTATTGCAGTACCAAGCAGCTGCAACAGCTCTCCCATTCTTCTCATGAATTAGGTTGTGGACTGAATGACTCCCCCGTCGGGCTTGCTGCATATATTTTGGAGAAATTCTCTACCTGGACAGATAAATCATTTCTATGTGAAGATGATGGAGGCTTGGAAAGGTAAGAAAACAGATGCTCTTCTATGGGAAAACTCATTAAAAGAATGAGTGATTACAACTAATAAGGACATAGGTAAAAGACTGGCCAGTCAAAGCTGAATTTTAAGGCTGAAAGATTACATGTAACACTTAGTAATTTAAACTTATAGCAGACTGCCTGCAAACTGCCACTTCAGCACCAGGCAGTTTTGGTCTGGGCACATGGGTGCCCATTAATTTGCTGCTTGAAAACAAGTGGAGAACAAGAGGAACAACTGTTCTTAAGGCCATGAGCCCCATATAGCATGTTGAGAAACAGCTTCCAATTATATTTCTTCATCTATCTTTCTCAACAGAAAATACTCTCTTGATGAGCTTTTGACCAACGTGATGATTTATTGGGTGACATCCACCATCGTGTCCTCGATGCGATACTACAAGGAGAACTTTGCCAGGAACCCTTTTTCATCTGCTGATACCAGGTAATGAAGTGGCACATGCAAGACAGACTTGCAAATGAGATTGAACCACGTTTTCCTGTATTAACATTTAGATAGGCTTACAACAGCAAGTTTAGTTTAAAAAAAAAAAATCCAAGTTTTAATTTTCTTTTGATAAATATAATTAAGGGTCACTTTTGAGCCTATAATTCACACAAGGTAGCTTGTGGCCAAGACAGTGCTGAAGCCTTATCAAAGTATATTCAGTCTCATTTGTGTTTAAATACAGGTCTGTACACTCAAACAAGCCTAATCTGTGCCTCAGTTCAGTGAAAACAGAACAGAAGACCGTGAACATTTTTAAGAGAGAAGTTTAAACTGAATTAGGAAGGATATGGCTTTCTGGTGAATAAACTAAGAACTGTAGCTAACAGTTAGGCACAAACTTCTAGAAGCAATTTGGAGAGCAGTACTTGAAACTGAGCACTTCTAACAGCCACTAGCTTTAAGATTATTATAAAAGAGGCTGACCAGGAAAATGCTGCTGAGCAGAATTCTCCAACTGATTGATCATACAAGCAAATAGGAGGCCTTTTGTTTGTAGACTGAACCAGCTTACCTTTCATCTCAAGAGTCATTTGTTGTGCTGGTACCATGAATTCTAAAGTAAACATGAGCTAGCTCATTTCTGACTTTCACAGAGAGGTGTGGCGTCTTGCCACATATCACAAAGCCACAAAACAAGGTCAGTTTAAAAATCCGAAACATTTCCAGATTGATCTGCTCTAAAGTTGGCTCTACTTCGCGCATCTTTGAGTGTAACATTCTTAAACTCAAGGAGATCCAAATACAAGTGAAGCTCTTCAGCAGAGTACAGACCACAAAATGGGTTGCTGTGGTGAAACTTCTCCAGCTGACTCTGGCAGTTGCCAGTCAGGTTTTTATAGACTTTCCCCAGGACTTTTCAAAAATGCAGCTAACTTATGTCTTCTAGGATTGGAGTATATGTTCCCACTGGGATTGCAGCTTTTCCGCAGGAAATTTTACATACGCCACGGGTCTGGGCAAAGGATGTCTTCAAGAACATCGTCACTTTCACTTACATGCCACGTGGAGGGCATTTTGCTGCCTTTGAGGAACCAAAGCTTCTGGCACAGGACATCATGCAATTTGTCAGAAAGGTGGAACAGCTGTGAACCTGTAGTTTAGATATACACACAGAACAGAACCAAGTGGTTCTGCAACAAGCTGAGCCTTTATTTTGAAGTATTAAATAAAGCCAGTGTAATCACATACAGAAGATAGCATTTTATTTTGATAATAATTATAGTACTAAACTTCATAAGTATTAAAAAAAAGCATCTTCTTTCTTTCTTTCTTTCCTAGGGCACCATATCATTGCTGCATTCATAGTTCAAGTATAACAGAATATGTGAACAGTTTAGCGTAGTAACATTGCACTCATTTGGGGAAGCAAATAGAAATGAACTGGCTCCTAGTTCCTCAGATTCTTTAAATACTCGAGTGAGTATTGAATACTTGAGTAAATAACAGCATTCTTAAATATGCATTACAAGAAGCTTTGGTAGAAGTGTAAAGGGTTTTGATCTCCTGAGCACAAACACTCTCACGTTCAAGTTATATTTCAAGAGACCTGTGATTGCATATTCAAGTGGGTAGCTGTGCATAAGGCAGCTTACTTCATTCTAGCTGTTCTTCCCATTAGAGCTAGTACTAGTAGCTACTACACATTGTAAACAGTTGTTAATGCAGAGACAGCACTCCTAGTGTTCTCAGAGCTCAAAAATATCAAGTTAATTTCCTCCTAGTTCTATAATCTCATTCCAAAAGATCAAAGTTAAAATATGCATCAAGTGTAGAGGGTTAGTTCGACCTTTATCCTTCAAAAGGATTTTTACCACCCCATTGTGTAATTTTTGCTAGCAAGAAACTGCAAGAAACCTCACTACCAGTCAGCTTGAGTTTCTCTTCAAATGGGAGAGCTATTTGAAGCTATTCAGCTCATTACATTACAGATACACACCAGCTGACTGAAGATAACTCCAGCAGGTATCTAGTTCTGACACACTGTACACTAAGGGTTTCTCTCCCTCCCTCCTTGTCCCATTCTGCATTAGACACCAGGCCAGAAGAAAGGGCTCAAGTTTTGTTTTCAAGTGGTACATCCTGACTTGGATCAGGTATTTGACATGTAAAGATAGCACTGAACTTGATCATGGTCCCCTCAACTCTTCTTCACATTTCAGAAACATTTAGAGTCCAAGACTCTTAAGACATCTAAGATGTAAAAGTAAGCAAGAAACTAACTTTCCTGCTGTGAAGTGAGAATAAACCAGCATATTGGGGCAGGAGTCCTAAATTCCTCTGAAGAGACCTAGAGGGAAATTTCTTAAAGTTAAAAGTAACTGTGTATCTAACTGTCAGGGCTGTTAGACTACCGGTTAGTAAAGAAAATGGTAAGACGTGCTTCCCTGCCTCCACAGGACTGCTCAAGCTCTTTTCATCACTAGTACAAGACCGTGCTAGGTACAAGACCTCCCAGCTGCTGAGAAGTCCCACTCTTTGGATTAACTAACTAAAACTGAGTTATGGGGAAATCTAATTTTGTCAAATAGATGGGCAAACACTTGAGTACTCAAGCCTGATCAGACTGCAGGGAAAGGTCTCCTTTTACAGGAGTAGGGTAGGTAAGAATGGTTAGAGCCTTTTAGTAAAGGCCAGCTGTATTAATAATCACATACACTATCTAGAGTCCCAAACAATCAGTTAATGTAGTGAAAAGGGGGCTTGTAGTTTAGGGCTAGGGTCTATGTAAAACCTAGCAATCACATAACCAAGGAATTGAATAGCTTATAGAAATTAATGGGAAACTGATATTAGCAGGCATGTAACTAACAATAGGGTATTGAATAAGGGAAATGAAGTATAGAGAAATACAAACTGAAGCAGCCTAAAAACCAGATAAAACCGACTCTGAGACTTGGAGAAGTTCCAGGAGCATGTGCAAAAGAAGGCATCCTTCAGATCTAAAACAGTGAACCAGGTTAGTTCAGGTGTCAATACAGTCAATAAGGTGTATGGATTCGCCACCACCTGATAGAGGTCTTCAGTTATTTTATTTATAACCCACAGGTCCTGGACCACTGGATATGACCTGTCGGGTTTCTGGATGGGTAGTATGGGAGTGTTAAAATTGGACTCACATTCCTTTAATAATCCCAATTGTAAAAATTTTTCTATTACTGGCCAAATTTCTTCCCTGTCTTCCCTCTTCAGGGGATACTGTTTAATTCTTACCGGCTGTTGCCCTTCTTTGAGTTTGGCCTCGACAGGTGAAGCATTCTTTGCCTTCCCCAGCAGATCAGTGGCCCATACCCCAGGATATACCTGGTTTATGATTTCTTCGCTGATTTTTCCTTCTGTGGGAAAACTGGCTAGGGATAAACTCATTGTTTGTACATATTGCTGGTCATTTACCTCCAGAGTAATCTCTCCATTTTCAAACTTAATTATTGCACCCAATTGTTCTAATAAATCTCTCCCCAAGAGTGCCTTTGGAGAGTTGGGCATATACAGAAATCTGTGGATGCCCCATTGTTTTCCCAATTTATATCTCAGAGGTTCACAAAAATATGCCTTTTCACCTTGGCCAGTCGCTCCTTTTACCATGATATAGTCATCTTCTAAGGGTACTAAACCTTGGTTTAAAACTGAATATGTTGCTCCTGTGTCAACTAGAAATTCTACCTTCTTTTGCTCTTTCTCTAGCCTCATTATAACCAGTGGATCTGCTGGGGTGGACTCCTCTGGTCTCCGTCAGTCTTCCTTCACATGGCCCACTATCTTTCCTTTCTGATTATTTCGTCCCTTCTCCTTATTTTTCCATTTTTCCGGACAATCATTTTTCCAGTGACCAATCCTTTTGCGTAACGCACAATGATCCCTGCCTAATCAGGGTGGTCCTCGTCTAGGTTTTCTTTCTTCCTCCTCCCTGACAACCACTACCACCTTTCATTGTCTTTGTTTATAACCTTTCTCTCTATTAGTAAACACTCTCCATGCTTCATCTAATAATATTTCCAAATTCATGCTTTCGGTGGGGCACAGCTTTTGAAGCTTGTGCCTAATGTCTCCTGTAGACTGACCCAAAACCAAAGAAACTAGTTGTATTCCTACCTCTGACCCAGGATCCAGCGGTGTGCTGCGGTGCGTTACGTCCCTCAGTCAATCCAGGAATTCGGATGGTGACTCAGAGGGGCCTTGTTTAATTGCATATAGGGCTGACCAATTTATGGTTTTGGGAATGGCTCTCTCCATTCCTTTTGATATCCATCCCTGATATGCCTGTAACGTTTCCATATGCACAGACCTATTTACCTCCCACTTTGGATCTTGAAATGGAAAATATTCTTTTACATCTCCCCCCACAGTTTTATAAAAATCATCTGCCAGGTCCCCAGCTACCTTTAAAATTAACTGTTTCTCTGTTTCTGTCATGCACTCCACCAGCAAC